AACAAAATAGAAACACAGAAAACAATCCAAAGAATCAATGAAACAAAAAGCTGGTTCTTGGAGAAAATCAACAAGATTGATAAACCCCTATCCAAACTAATCAAATGGCAGAGAGAGAATACACAAATTAACAAGATCAGAAATGAAAAGGGAGACATAACCACAGACACAGAGGAAATTCAGAGAATCATTAGATCTTACTACAAAAGCCCATATGACACAAAATTGGAAAATGTTAAAGAAATGGACACTTTTTTAGATAAATACCATATACCAAAGTTAAACCAGGACCAGGTGGACAATCTAAATAGACCTGTTAGTCGCGAAGAATTAGAAGTTGTTATAAAAACCTCCCTACCAAAAAAAGCTCAGGTCCAGACGGTTTCAATGCAGAATTCTAGCAGAAGTTCCAAGAAGACCTAATACCTATACTACTTAAGGTAGTAGTATAGAAATATAGAAACAGAAAAGTCATTGCCAAATTCCTTTTATGAAGCTACAGTTACCCAGATACCAAATGCAACCAAGAAAGAGAATTACAGGCCAATCTCACTCATGAACATCGACGCGAAAATCCTCAATAAAATAATGGCAAACCGATTCCAAGAACACATTAGAAAAATTATCCATTATGATCAAGTAGGCTTCATCCCAGGGATGCAGGGCTGGTTCAACATACGAAAATCTATCAATGTAATCCATCATATAAATAAACTGAAAGAAAAAACCATATGATCATTTCATTAGATGCTGAAAAAGCATTAGACAAAATTCAACATCCCTTTATGATAAAGGTCTTGGAGAGATTAGGGATACATGGGTCATACATAAATATAATAAAAGCCATTTACAGCAAGCCAACAGTTAACATCAAATTAAATGGAGAGAAACTCAAAGCCATCCCACTAAAATCAGGAACACGACAAGGCTGTCCACTCTCTCCATACTTTTTCAATATAGTGCTTGATGTTCTAGCAATAGCAATAAGACAACATAAGGGGATCAAGGGGATTCGTATTGGAAAGGAAGAAGTTAAGCTTTTGTTATTTGCAGATGATATGATAGTATACATAAGCGACCCCAAAAACTCCACCAAAGAACTCCTACAGCTGATAAACACCTTTAGTAGCGTGGCAGGATACAAGATCGAGTCCAAAAAATCAGTTGCCCTTTTATACACAAAGGATAAGGAAGCAGAGAGGGAAATCAGAGAAACATCACCTTTCACGATACCCACAAAGAACATAAAATATCTTGGGGTAACTCTAACCAAGGACGTGAAGGATCTATTTGACAAGAATTTTAAGTCCTTAAAGAAAGAAATTGAGGAGGATACCAGAAAATGGAAGGATCTCCCTTGCTCTTGGATTAGGAGGATCAACATAATAAAAATGGCAATTCTACCAAAGGCAATTTATAGATTCAATGCAATCCCCATTAAAATCCCATCGAAATTCTTCACAGATCTTGAGAGGACATTAATCAACTTTATATGAAAAAAAACCCAGGATAGCCAAAACAATCTTATACAATAAAGGAACTTCTGGAGGCATTACCATCCCTGACTTCAAACTCTATTACAGAGCTACAGTAATGAAAACAGTGTGGTATTGGCATAAAAACAGAGAAGTCGACCAATGGAATCACATAGAAGACCCGGATTTTAACCCACAAACCTATGAACACCTGATTTTTGATAAAGGAGCTAAAAGTATTCAATGGAAGAAAGAAAGCATCTTCAACAAATGGTGCTGGCAGAACTGGTTGTCAACCTGTAGAAGAATGAAAGTAGATCCATATCTATTGCCATGCACAAAACTTAAGTCCAAATGGATCAAAGACCTCAATATCAGTCCGAACACACTGAACCTGATAGAAGAGAAAGTGGGAAGTACCCTACAACAGATGGGCACAGGAGATCGCTTCCTATGTATATCCCCAGCAGCACAGAATTTAAAGACAACATTGAATAAATGGGACCTCCTGAAACTGAGAAGCTTTCAGGACACTGAAAAAAAAAGCAAAGGACACTGTCACTAAGACAAAAAGGCAACCCACTGACTGGGAGAAGATCTTCACCAACCCTACAATAGACAAAGGCCTGATCTCCAAAATATATAAAGAACTCAAGAAACTAGACTTTAAAAAGCTAATTAACCCAATTAAAAAATGGGGCACTGAACTGAACAGAGAATTCTCAACAGAAGAAATTCAAATGGCCAAAAGACACTTAAGGTCATGCTCATCCTCCTTGGTGATCAGGGAAATGCACATTAAAACAACTTTGAGATACCATCTTACACCTGTCAGAATGGCTAAAATGAAAAGCACCAATGATAGCCTTTGCTGGAGATGTTGTGGAGTAAGGGGCACACTCATCCATTCCTGGTAGGAATGCAAACTTGTACAACCACATTGGAAATCAGTGTGGCGATTTCTCAGGAAATTTGGGATCAACCTACCCCAAGATCCAGTAATCCCACTCTTGGGAATAAACCCAAGAGATGCCTTATCATATGACAAAAGCATTTGTTCAACTATGTTCATAGCAGCACTATTTGTAATAGCCAGAACCTGGAAACAACCTAGATGCCCTTCAATGGGAGAATGGATGAAGAAAGTGTGGAATATGTACATATTAGAGTACTACTCAGCGGTAAAAAACAATGACTTCTCGAATTTTGTATGCAAATGGATGGAAATAAAAAGCACTATCCTGAGTGAGGTATCCCAGACCCAAAAAGATGAACATGGGATGTACTCACTCATAATTGGTTACTAGCCATAAATAAAGGACATTGAGCATATAATTTGTGATCCTAGAGAAGCTAAATAAGAAGGTGAACCCAAAGGAAAACATATAGTCACCCGCCTGGATATGGGAAGTAGACAAGATTGATGGGCAAAACTGGGAACTTGGGATGATGTGGCATGGGGCCAAGGGGAAATGGGGTGAGAAACGTTAGAAGGGGAGATTGGGGGGAGCTTGGGGGAATGGGGTGGTTGGGATAAAGGAAGGGTGGACACGGGAGCAGAGAAATATATATCCTAATTAAGGGAGCCATCTTAGGGTTGGCAAGAGACTTGACTCTAGAGGGGCTCGCAGGTGTCCAGGGAGATGTCCCCAGCGAGTACCTTGAGCAACTGAGCAGAGGGAATCTGAAATGACCCTATCTCCTATAGCCATACTGATAAATATCTTACATATCACCTTAGACCCTTCATCTGGCGATGGTTGGAGATAGAGACAGAGACCCAAATTGGAGCACCGGACTAAGCTCTTAAGACCCAAATGAGGAGCAGAAGGAGGGAGAACATGAGCAAGGAAGTCAGGCCCACGAGGGGTGCACCCACCCGCTGTGACAGTGGATCTGACCTATTAGGAGCTCATCAAGGCCAGCGGGACTGGGACTGAATAAGATTGGGATGTAACCGGACTCCCTGAATGTGGCAGACAATGAAGGCTGATGAGAAGCCAAGGACAATGGCACTAGGTTTCGATCCTAATACATGAACTGGCTGTATGGGAGCCTAGCCCATTTGGATGCTCACCTTCCTGGTCCTGGATAGAAGTGGGAGGACCTTGGACTTCCCGCAGGGCAGGGATCCTGGACTGCTCATCATTCTTGAGAGGGAGGGGGGAATGGAGTGGGGGGAGGGGGGAGAGGGGTAGGGGAGAAGGGAGAGGGGGAAAAGTGTGGGAGGAGGGGGAGGGAAATGGGAAACGGGGAGGAGGCGGTAATTTTTTAAAAAAATAAAAATAAAAGAGAGGACAGGGAGAGGAAGTAGAACGTGCTGTATGCATTATGGAATTGTCAAATAGCACAGTTAATCACTATTAAAAAGAAACTGGGTATGCTTCAAAAAAAAAAAGATTCTGTAAACAGAACACAATCACAGGAAACAACAGTAAATATCAGGCCAGATTAAAAGTGTGTCCTCAGGGACACATTAATACCTTCTTCTGCAGAGTTGGGAGCCGAGGCAGAGTGTGTCCCCCTCCTGAGAGTGGGTCACTAGCGTCTCTGAGCTAGTACGGATGACAAGCTGAGAGGTGGAGTCAGTACTGACTCCACTCTGGTAACAAAGGTTTGCAGTTTGAGCTCTGGTTTGGTAGGTGACTCCTGCAGCCCCCAGAACACAACAGCATCTGACCTTGAGGGTCCTCTTCTTCCTCCTCCAGGAATTAGGAAAGCCCGGCCTCTCTCTCCCGTGAGCAGTGGAGAAACCACAGCAGGAAAAGAATCAATGACGAAAGGGTCGAGCTCAGGTGAAGCAGGTCATCTGTCCTTGCTTCTTCCTCCTGACCAGGTGATTCTTTCTAACAGAAATGGAACAAAAATAATGTTACTTTGATAGGCATTGAATAGTAGGTAAGAAGGAAGAATGAACATGAGCAACCAATTGTTTCACAACGGGCTCTAGGGTTACAATATTGACAGTAAAAATAAACACTGAAGATGTTGAGGAGGTTGAACCAGCAGCACGCAAGAGCCGTAGGAGGGTGAGGAAAGACAAACAAGAGACAAATAGTACAGGAATAGTACAGGCATATTAGACAGATCTGACGTTTTGATTTGACATGTCCATCTGAGCTGAAGACGAATCCTCAGGAACTTAGTTTTGGAGTTTTATTTTGTTTTTGCAAGGAAAATATAGAGGCCAGAAGAGGGAATGAGATCCTTTGGAACTGGAGTTACAGATGATTGTGTATGCAGGGAATTGAACCCGGACTCTCTGGCAGAGAGTCCACTTCACTTAATTGTGTGCCATCTCTCCAGCCCTAGGAGGTGTTTGGTGATACAAAAGGTCTTAGAAGTAGGACAGAAAGATAGCAAAAAAAAAACTGACAAAAAAAAGAGGAAAAAAAGAGGGATTTGTACACGATGGAAGTGTCCTAACATTTAGGAAACCTCAAGGAAGTAAATTGCACCCAAATAGGAAATGTACACAGACCTTAAGAAGGAGCAAGGAGGGAAGCAGAAGAATGAGGAGCTGTTGTGGAGGCTTGAAGGAAGAGGGGAGTCCGCAACAGCATGGGAGACACTGGACAGCAGGGAAGGATCAAAAGCCCAAAGCAAGTGACGCAGATCAAAGTGAAGTGAGCATAGAATAGTGCAGCTGGACCAGAGTGTAAGAATGTGAGAGAACTGCGTCCAGGCATCTCTCCAAGGCATTTGAGAGATTATGGATGAGAGGACTGGTGAGAATGACTGAAGACTTCCGAGGCTGATTTGTGGACACTCAGGGCTCCAGCAGGACTGTGGTCCTCACACCTGCCTGAACCATTGCACCTCACAGGAGCTTTGTGCCAATATTATCCCTGCTGCTCATTCCCCACTGCTCCCGGTGATGAGAATGATAAAGAGTTCTAGGTAATAACTCCACATAGCATCATTCACTAGTGGGAAAGTGTCCCAGAAGATGCTGACAAACAGCAGAGATTGAAACTTCTAAAGTTTAGGAAATGGATTACTTATTTGATCAAAAATAATTTACATCATTACTCCACTGATAACGAAATAAATTTTAGTCGGGGAAAAAAGTAATAATCTTTCTGAGAAGCATAAATTCACGTTATAGGTTAGGTAAGATTAGTGATTACTTCATAAACTTCAAAGATGGAATATTTTTCCATAGAAAAACTCACAATTGATTTTATGACAATAAGAAAACGGATACGCTGATCAATAAATAGCTAAGACTTGAGGAAGGCAAGTTAACTATGTCTAAATGGTTAACAAATATGGGCAAAAATTACTTTATATGAATTAGTAGTTTTATTTTTATTTTTTAATCTTTGAGATAGGGCCTCACTATGAAGCCATAGCTGGCCTGATGTAGACCATACTGGTCCCAGACTCACAGAGATTCACCTGCTTCTGCCTCCTGGGTACCTGGATTAAAGGTATGCACTACCATGCCCAGCTTAATTAGTAATTTTTGAAAATATATTTAAGCACACGCCTATAATCCCAGAACTTGGGAGGTTGAAGCAGGAGGATTTCTGTGTGTTTAGGGCTGGCCCATTCTACATAGTGAGACTCTTTCTCAAAAGATATTTTTTGAAATATGATCAGATATAAATTTTTATGTACTTATTTCAATGAGGCATCAAAATTGCTCTCCTGACCTACAGTCAGGGTGGAGTCCTGAAATATAGTGAGTTCTTTCTGGTCCTTGTTAAGGCCATTATCTGACCCAGTCTGGGAGACAGCCAAGTTGAAGTTCACAGAACACAGTTAATGTATTATCTTTTTCCAAAAGCAGAAAGAACTCAGGACAAGAATCAGATTCCTGGGGTGGACTTATCTCAACCCAGTGAAAGTGGCATTTCCTAATCTATGAAGCTGAACTCATTCTTCATGCTCAGCTCAGAGAATCTGCTAGAAAGTCAGTGAGCATGTGAGAGTCACAGTGTAAGTGGTGGCAAGTGGCTGTTCTAGCAAGAGTTCAGAGTTCTTCCCAATAGCCACAAGGGAATTTTTTTTTTTTTTTTTTTTTTTTTGGTTTTTCAAGACAGGATTTCCCTGTAGCTTTAGAACTTGTCTTGGAACTAGCTTTTGTAGACCAGTCTGGCCTCGAACTTACAGAGATCTGCCTGCCTCTGCCTCCTGAGTACTGGGATTAAAGGCACGCACCACCACTGTCCAGTTTACGAGGGGATTCTCATATATTGTATTTGTGTATGTATGTGTGTGCTTCTCAAAATAGAAGCCAGAGCCACATTCATTCTAGGAAAGCATTCTGCCTCCAAGCTGTAGGCAGAGCCTTAAAATAAACACTGTTATTAAAGCACTATCAAGGAGTCTGGGGAGGTAGCTCAGGAGGCAGAGTGCATATGTGAGGTCCAATATTCAATCCCAATGCCAAATAAATTGGGCATAGTGGCACTATTTGTAATCCCAGGATTTTGGAGACAGATGCAGGAGAATCAGAAGTTCAGGGTCAACCTCAGCTAGATATCTGATTGATTGATTGATTGATTAATAAGGGCTGGCAGGTTACCTCAGCAGATATGGATGCTTCTCACCAAGCTGAATTGATTTCAGTTACAGAGCCCACACGGAGAAAAGAGAGAATATACACCTTCAAGTTGTTCTCTGACCTTTATGTTCATGCTCTGCATGGTCACTGCCTCCGCATAAATAAATAAATAAATAAATAAATAAATAAATAAATAAATAAATAAAATACAATTTTTAAATTAAAAATACAATTTTTAAATAAATAAATAAGCTGGGGCAGTTAGCATCTGCAGGTCCTTCAGTGCACATAAATCATAATGTCATTCATTTACAGACAACTTACTGAGTCAAGAAATTCTTTTCTCTAATTGCTCCTCAAAGGAGTCATTGTGTTTCTGAATGTCACAGAACCTGAAGTTCTTTAGTGACTGCATCAGCTTCACTGCCACGCTCTCACGGAAATCAGCTCCCCTTCAAAGCACAGACTTAAACATAGACCCAGTTCCTTCTCCTCTTAACATGGTGAAAGACTTCTGGAATGTTAGGAAAGAACACTTGGGCAATAACCTAATGAGCAGAAGTGCAAGGTGGATGTGTAGGGATGTGCTCATAATTCTGTTACATCTGTATTTTACCTGAACAACCATACAGTAGCCCAGTTGCCAGCCCACCATCTCTTGTCTGTGCTGTTCAACCTGTGCACATTATTGGCCCTGCCCCCTTTCCTCATAGGCATTTATAGTTGCATATTAAAAGCAGATTTATCTTGCTTATCCATCATGCATACTTTGGCCTCAGCTCACTTTCAATTTGTGGGTCAAATCTCAGAAGTATATTAAATAAATCCTGTTTCTGAAATCAAACATACTTGTCTTTTAGTGCTCAGTAGCTGTATACTTGGCTTTTCTCATTTTCTTACTAGATTTGTGATGTTATCTGAGTGTAAGAATTAAGAGACATCACATGCAAAATATTTAGCATAACACTTAGCACGTATTAACTATCTACTTCCACTGTTTATATCTCTCTTTCTTAAGCAACGCAGAGAAAATTCACTAGGTTCTAATTCACTAGAGAAGGTTTTGTATTGGCAGCCGGCCATCATTCTAGTATCACACATATCTACTTCCTTAATTCCTGCTTGCCAGTATTGTTCTACATAAATTTGGGCAAGTGTCATCCCTTCTCAGCATTTTAATTCCTAATCTATAAAGTAGTAAATCATAATACTAAATCTTAATCTTTAAAATTATAAATCACATAATCATAGACATTCTGATGGGGACAAATATGATAAGTCACATGGACGTGCACATCTGCAGTCAGAGCACAGGAGACTAAGGATGAAAGAGGGCCAGACTGGGCTACAGAGTGAGACCCAATCTCAAAACAATAGATAAAAGATTAAAGTGCTTTAAAATTTCAAGACCAAAGTATTTCAAAGCTCCAAGACAGGATTATCAAATACTTTTTACTCCTCTCCACCCACACACATGTATTGCCCCCTCTTCTAAGGCGCCCAGCCTTCAAGAGTTGAAGCTTAGTAGTAAATGATTTGAGCATCTACTCAACTGTGGCTCTGGTTATTTTAGAAGCCAAGCTGATTCTGCATGTGACCGCATCATTTATTGGCTGCGTGTTTTCTTATATCTATTTTATACCTGTTATACAGAGAGATGATGCCTGACTTATCTTGGGAGATAATCTGCAATCAAATGAACTTTCAGGGCCACTTTATATATGTACCAGTGTGGTCTCCGGAATGATAGAGCTCTTCAACAGCCCAGTGAAGCTTTGTGATCTAGAGCAAGGGCAGTAACAACCAGCACACTGTCAGTATTTGTCCATATCTTAGGCAGGAAGAAATGTCTGCATACAGAAAAGCATGGATAGATGTAAAATCAGAAGGAAGATGGAAACCTGCACTTGTCTCTGTGTTGTTAAGGAGAAGAAGAACCTGACAGTCTTTCCAATATTCCTGTTTGTTGTGTGATCACATAGACTGACTCCTACAGAAAATTCAAGTCATGTAGGTACAGCCAACCAAACTGCAGAGAGTACTGAGAAGTAAAGAGTCATGAGAGACACAAAGCACCCTCACGGGGTCCTAATCTGTTCTGGAAATAAAAAATGTGGCAGCAATGTTAATTTTTTAAAGTTGGGATTGACTTTGACCTTGACCTTTGCAAAATAAAAATCTAACAAAGGCCTCACTTGAGGTGTGGGGGAATAAGAGCTGGAGAGATGGCTCAGTAGTTGAGAGCGCATACTGCTCTTGCAGAAGACACTAGTTCTGTTCCTAACACTAATGCTAGGCAGCTTACAACCGCCTATGACTCTAGCTCCATGGGAT